TCTGGTTACAGAAGTTTATAGCTTTCTAACACCTAAAGCTTGTTTTTTCTAACCGGTGATAAAAGCCTCATCCCCTTTACTTCAAAGCGGGAGTCAGGAAGTTTTTCCATCTACTGGGTAGAACAAGGGAATATACAAAAGACAGGTTAATTCCCCCAATCCCAGATCTCCGTCACAGTCCTTCACGCATCTTTCATATCTCCCTTAGCATCTCCTGAAATCTCTGCTCTTTTGTTGACGGTATTCCTGTCAATGGCTGCAGAACCCATTGTCTCAGCTCCATTGCTTTTTCAAACTCTCTGAATTACACATGGATTACTTATCATTGCTCATGTGGAACTAAGGACAAAGCAAGTGGAGATACAGAAGATCTGATCTGATCTCCCATATTTTGGGAGCAATGACTAAAATAGAGCAATGGCTTTTAATTAGAGCAAGAGGGAATTTAATCTTTCCCCTGCTTTTTTTCCAGATCTTCATTGGTCACTGCTTAAGCATTAACTTTGTCAGCACAAAGTTGGAGAAAACAGCCAGAACTGTTTCTGATAAGAGACCTAACATCTAAAAAATGAAATGAAATGAAATGAAATGAAATGAAAGAAAAGAGGTGGCTGAATTTTCCCCCAGCACTAACAGCTTCAGATGCAATTTAAATTAGGGAAGGTACGGGAAAGGTGCTAATTCTCACACCTCCTCAGTTCTTTTGTTCAGACCAAGAACGGACATCCTCTCTCCCCTTTCAATTGCTTTTAACCAAAATCTAAACTGTTAGGAAATTTTATCATGGATCTTGTAGGTCTATATAGTTTGGGCCTGAGCTTCTGATAGGAGTATTTGCCTTGTTTTTTCCATTGTGAACATCCTCAACTTGATTTCTTTCCAAACAAAATAGCTTCTCCTTGCCCAGAGAGAGAATCTGACTCTTCGTAAATTTGATAGCAAAGTAACTATCCAGACGAAATCACATCAGTAGCTCTGCCAAAAGGCCCGGAATCCATGAGTCATACTGCATTCAGCAATAAACATTTTAAAAAGTGCTCTGGGCGGATTAGAGTGAAACCTTACAAGGCTCTACAAATTAGTGGGCTCTTTATTAATATAGTTTGCATCCAGATATCAAACAGATAAAGAGTACTGCGGTGAGAGCGAGTGAAGAAAGAGAGAGAGAAATGATTCATCTGCATTGTGAGCTATGGTTCATAAACTATAGTTTGGACAAACTATGGCTTGGCATTCCTTTTGAACAGATAAGGGTTAGGGTTGTAAGAAAGACTGCTCCACTCTCAAAGGCTATTGTGTGGATTAATCCTCCGAGATTCTCAACAATGAGGTAACAAAAAAATCAAACAAAGGTTTATCTGATGGTTTGGAAAAAAAAATGTGATCTGAAGTTTAAAATACAAAAATAGCTTGACATTATGCTCAAATCTGTCCATTTTCTTCAATTTATGAATCAGTAAATTAGCAGCAAATATTGAAGAGATCCCAGTAATATGAGTAAAATACTATCTGTAAAGGTAGCTAGGCTGTACAGTGCAGGAGTTTGTAGCTCTTATTTTATGTCCAAATTTAAAGGAACGCAGTTGCTTACGATTCGCTAATTTCCTTCCTTGATTCTTTCTGTACCTTACAGATTCTATAAGTTTAATTTCTATTCTGTTGCCACCCAAAACAGAGGAAGAAAAATCTTTAGGAACTCACATTCACCCAATTTGCAAACAATGTACCTATGGGTTCTCCGGCATTATAAACCTTTTAACGTGATTTGCTGAACCACTATACTTATTTATTTTATTTATTAAACCAATTTATATAGCCACTCATCTCACCACAAGTGACTGTGGGCGGCCTACAACGAATATTGGCTTCTGTATGCAGATCATCCTTGATCTGTGAAATGATTGAAATTGAAATGATTTCCCATAAAAACAGGATTACATAATTAACTAGACTTAATCTTTAAAACTGATATTGGAAAATTAAAATGGGGACATGGACGCTATCCATGAAATGCTCAGGTACCACCCAGGCTGTCTTGTCAACTTGTTGCTCACCACTGAGCAGGTCAATGCCCAATATTTTAAAGGCTCATGATAACATGATTAAAAAAAAAACAACATTTTTATATTTTCCTGAAAAACCAGGAGGGAAAAAACTTTTTCTAAAAAATAAAAAAACCTGAGATTTTCTGAATCATCTATGAACTGTACATAAAAATATTATAAGCACCTCATACTTCCTTACATGAGGAAACCCAACAGCACCAGTCCAAACCTCAAAGGAGGAACACACCTGATAAATAGCTTCATCGCAGGCATTCTGCAGACCAAGGTTCACCATCGTGTTCTGAAGTGTTCGGCCCATATAGAATTCCAGAGACAGGTAATAAATACGCTACGAAAGCAGAGAAAAAAGACAGAGTTTATATGGTCTGATATGTTTTGCACCCTGAGCCATGTAGTAGGTGACTAGTCTGTTCATATTATATACCTTTACAAAAGGCTCAGAACAATATCTGTGATATTCATGCCCCTCCTATTTTATCCTCACAACCACTTTTGAGGTCAACAGGGTTGAGAGAGAGTGACTTGTCCAGACATATCCTTTGGCTGACTGGGGATTTGAACATTGTCTTTCTAGTCTCAGCCCAACACTCCAACCACAACATCACACAGACTCCACCTTGGGACCACAGAGACAGTAATGATGCAATCCTTCATTTCATTTCTGCCAACTAGGACAGGACTGTTGTATATTCTGTAAATTTCATAAAAGCACAAAAAAATGCAGCTATATTTCAGCAAACGTGGGCAAATCAACTTTCCTTTCTAAAGACAGAAGGTTCAAAATCTTCCAACTGCAGGTGATACCATGAGAACAAAGAATGGTGGAATTCCAGCAGTCAGAAGGCTGATTTAATCAAATGTCCATTTGTTAGAAAGCAGAACTTTGATATCCAGCACTCTCCCTAACTGGCAGGAAAAGAAACATGTATGCCAAATAGCATATATAATAAAGTTAGTTAATTTATTAATTACAGGATACTCTTCTTGTGAGCATGAGGAGTGCAAATCACTGTTCAGGTATGTGGCTTCAAGGATGATCAGATGCCACACTTTCAGTTAATCTACCTACCTCAAAGGTGTGTGGGAAGTCAGTATAGTCTCACACAGTGTTTCTCAACCTTGGCAACTTTGAGATGTATGGATTTCAGCTGCCAGAATTCCCCAGCCAGCATGCTGAGGAATATTGGTCTAAAACAGTGGTTCTCAATGTTTGCTGTTCCCCAGTCCCCTAAAAAATAAATGAATGTACATGACACCCCTTCCCCCGTTGAATAAAACCAATTATTATTGTTTTAGTATTAGAGTTGGGCAAGAAATAGTATGCATCAGCTTTAATAATTAAATCTTAATCTATGTATCACAAGAATTCTCATACACAGTTGTCACTGCAGGCTTGTGCAGGCAAAGCAAAGAGCAAAGGCGGAGTGGGTTTTGAGAGAGTGCCCACTTTGCTTGCCAGTATCTGAGAGGTATGCTCAAAAAAGTCAAAATGGCGATCATGGCAAGGCAACTGAACCTCTGTCCTTTGTTAATGTGCACATGAGGCATACATAAAACAGGCAGAGCTTCAATTACATGATTGCAACCGCTCTCTTGACTTTTTTGACCATGCCCTGCTGATCCTCTGTTTCTTGCACATGCAGGAACAGTTTTTTAAAAAATATGTGACCCCCCTCACAACTCTTTGCAACCTCCTGGGGAGAACCCTTTAACAATATACCAAGCAAACTCTGCTTAGATGTTACTGTGATAATAATGAGAGGTAGTGTTAAAATAACATGATAGGAAGTTGTTTCCGATCGCTTTGCCAGGAGGTGTATTTTCTTCTGTGTAATGAAGCATGGTGTGCACCCACTTTTTCTTCAGGGACTAATCAGGATGTCTGCATATATGTTCCCTCTGTGTGTCTACACTGTGTGTCTCTGAGGGTCTAATCAGGGCAGGTTTGGGTGTGTTGCCTTTGTGTATGGGTGTTTCTACCTTCTCCCATGTTGCATCTATGTGAGCTGGTGTGTATGTGTGCCCTGGGGAGGCCAGGCCAGACTATATACACTCCGCTCTGGGTCACATGACTGGGGGGTGCTTAGAATGGAGTTGCCCAGTTGTCAATCCTCCAGCAATGCTTTGGGATAATTTTTCAAAAACGTTTTCTCTGCAGTGTTTGGTTGGATCTGACCCATTTACAAATTCAATACTTTGCCAGTTTCTCCTGCCTTACTAAATTTGGTTTCATTCGTTTTTTTGTTTGTTTGTTTGTTTGTTTTTTGAGGGGGGGAGTATTTTGCGACAAAGTCTCAAGGCCTTTTACACATTTTTTTTCCAATATTCCACTGGACTAGAAGAATAAAAATAGGGGGAAAGGGGCTGGAAGTATACAGTACATAGTAAAAAAAAATTGACGAAATTAATTAAAAGGCATTGTCTTTATTTCTTTGTTGAAGAATTATCTAACTTAAATGTTAACAAAGCATATCAATAATTCACTTCTACACATCAAGTGTAGATTCATCCTTTCACCACTACATAACATTTCTTTTGGACATGCCCCATGAGCAAAAGAAATTGATCTACTGATACAGTCCAAATGGAGACACTCACAAATCTTGATAATTTCAAATACTTGAGACACAGCTACAAAAAAACTATGCATCTTTGATATACAGTGGTTGTTCTCAATCATGTTAACAATTCTGTGAATTTTTGCACAAAATGTGACAACAGAGAGCAAGCCCAAATGATGTGAATTAATGTTAATTCCAATAGCACAGCAATTGTAGTCAACCATTATAAACATTATTTGAGGTGTCCAATGTGCACACTTTTCTGTTGTTCTTAAGATCAAAAGGACGTAACTTTATATTTTTAAAAGCAACTTTCACTGATCAATAAAAACAGGACATTCAAGATCATTATTCCAAAGGCTGAGTGTTTAAAGGTTTCAAGGGTTGGACTTGGGCCAGAGAGATCCAGGTTCACATTCACACTTGACCACAGTACTCAGCAGGGACTTCAGTCCAGCAACTCTCTCAGATCACAATCTAACTTATCACACTGTTGTTGTGGGAATAAAATTAATAAGCAATGTATATGTCACTTTTTTTCCTCAAAGAGAAAAACTGTTATATAAATATAGGATATCAGTACTTAAGTAAAAAGTAAATAAATAAGCACAAGCAGAGAATGTCTGTGAATTGCTCTGTTCTGACCTCTGTGAAAGCAAGGTGAGATTAACCTGTAATAAGTAATAATTTACATATAATTTGCACAAGACGCAGCATGCATTTTTTCATGATGCAAAGCTTGGACTACAACATTCTAATGTAGTCATTTTTAATACTCAACCTTGGATTAGAGTGACCATAAATAAGTTCTAAAGGAAAAATGGAGCACTTTTGCTCATGCAAACTATAACAGATATGACTACATATGACTATATATGACTACATAACTATATATGACTACAAAGCAAGGCCAAGGTCAGTATGGTGCCTGAGTGTGCAATAAGGTCATTCAGGGAAGTGCTACCAATGGAACTGCCTGCAATTTGGATTTTTTAATCCCTCAGGTTCAGTCTAATATGACAGTCTGAGCACAAAGGGATAAGAAAACTACAGACAGCCTGCCTGCAAATAAAGGACAGGGGAATAAAGGCAGGATTATTTAGCCTTCTCCATTAAGAAAATTGTCAAGATACTGATGATGGTATCACTATTTCTTGGGCTTAGAACTATGCCAACTCTGTTTTCTTTCTTTGATTGGAAATGGAATTTGATTTAGCAAGGTTCTTGGAGGAGGAGGAGATTATAAGTGACTAAGCATAAATCTCCCCTTGGGGGAGGAAAATAAAATCAATGGAATTAGATCACTTGAGCCATTCTGAAATATTTATTAGATCTGAGCAGAAAGGCTAAGATTTGTGAAGAAGCTGAGAGTGGAAATTTTTTCTGGCATTGGGATGACTTCATCACTCACCTCTCATGACCTTGAGGTGTATTTGGTGCTAGGAAAACCAAGAGAAGGTTGGCTGCTCAAATCTATGTTCTGTAGTTTTGTCAGGATCCTTGATCTCATCTCTAAAGCTAGGTTCTATTTCTTTAAATATACTTTTTCCTGGGAATAAACCCCAATGAGTACAATGACATATGATGGTGGTTAACAGTTTCTTTTCTCTTTTTCACACATGCTAAATTCTGAGCTCTTTTCACCGATGGATGTTGTGGGGTCATTGTTCATTTTTATGCACCCAATCATGTGTTCCTCCTCAGTCTAGTAATAACCCACCATACAGGAGACCTTAGAGCAATTAAAATTACAATAGGAAGTTTCAAGTTCACTTCCCTCCCACCCACTGTTCCATATGTTGAAAGAACACATAAGGCAGATAGTAAGGCTAAATAATTAAACCTGCTAACTTCTAGCTGTCAACACCCATGGTTCTTGTCATTCACACACTGAAGCTGGGAAAAGACCCCCTGCATGTGTTATAAGGATGCAAGTGGGAATGATGCTATTACAAGGAATAACCTTGACTGGGCATAACCAGAGTTCTATCTTTCTGGCCAGAGTGCTCCACGTGAAATATGAAGAGCTTTCCAGAAGTGGGAATGAAGGACCTCCAAGGGAGTAAAAATGGGAAGTTCTTGGTTGTGCATGGAAGGGCACCAGCTGAAGAGACAAAGAAAAGAGTGGGCAAGAGAAAAGGCAGTTAGTACAAAATACATGAACCATCTGATATGATCCTGTCCAAAAGGCTTATTTAAATGGGAGCTCAGGTTTAGCATATGTGAAAGGCAACAGATCAGTGAAGGCTGAAATACATCATGGCCACATGAGATTTCAGCAAGGAATTTGCTGCCTTGTATTGTGCAGGTCCCTCTATCCTGCCATCACATAAGCCAAATTAATTCATGACTATAGCTGGTTTTGCTGGTTCCTACCTACACTAAAAATCAACAGAACTTGTTAAAAATAATAGGGAGCTCAACAGCCAACAGATACTTAACACAAGTACAGCTGAAACTAGTACAACTCAGTTCAGGAAATATGTCACTTTACCACCACCTACAGTGTATCCCATGGGAATTTACATAATTCCTTAGAAATCACATAATAATCTTACTGATTTTAATAGAATTATTTTGCAATTTTCAGCATGAGAACATAGAGCTCTGTTGAATTAAAGGTTCATCTACCAGAGTCTTCTCAATGGTGGTGCCATGTCCTGGTGCCTGTCCTATCTCCTTCTAAATGAGTTTCTGTAAAGAAATTAAAACTTGGCTCTAGGAGAAAGCATTCAAAGGAAGTTAGAATCTACCGCTATCTAGTCCA